TTTTTTTTTTGGGTACATTGGGCAATGCTTTAAGCACTGAATAATCAAGAAGCTCTAGGCTTACACACTCCTAATAAATCCTCTCTAGGGGTAGTCCTAACTTCATCTAGGGGTTCCTCAAAGAAGTGTAAACTTGGCTCAAAATGATAGAAAGAAGAAGCCATAACGTCTGCACATGAGTTTGCTTCACAGAAAACATGTCTTAACTCACATTCCTAGTTATGGTTCAACAACTCAGTGCACCCTCTACAAAGCATTGAGAGCGAGTTAGCAGCGCCACTATGTTGCTCCAATTTTTGTTTGGCTAAAAGAGAATTTGTTTCTATGGTTACTTCTTGTATCCTTTTTCCCAGGCCAATTGCAAACCCTTCCATAAGGCATATAACTCCACACGTATAGCGACACCCATACCCAATTGTTGTGTAAATCCAAAACACCAGTCCTTATTGGAGTCTCGGCACACACCACCTGCTGTAGAAGCTCCTTGTGTCCCTCTAGCTGAGCCATCCACATTGATCTTCACATACCTTAGAGGATGTTTTCCCACCCAATGAGCTGTTCATACCGTAAAGTTCTAGTGGGTGGGTTCCTATTCCAAAAATATGCAACTTTTGCTAAATGAAATCTTAGCATTGCCTCCTTTTGCAACTATCCACTCTCTATCACCTTCAAACACTGCTTTATACGAGCTAGCAATATGAACCAACATATGGCAACAAAGGCGATGTCCCATGGTAATCGTTGTTCAATCTTGACATTTGTTCTCAATAGGTTATGATTAATGCACTCAGCATGATTCATTTGCTACCAACATTGCCAAAGATTATCGCCAATCCATTTCCTCCATAGCCTTCTCGAGCCTACACAATCTCGGAAACAATGTAGTACATCCTCCCTGCCACGCTAGCAACATAGGTAGGAATCATCATTTGTCAAGCCTCGAGCCATCCTTGAGCTATTAGTGAGGACTCGATTATGCAACATTAGCCATAACAGTCCTTTTTCTTTTGGTGTGACTTTGCTCTTCCATGTTTTGCTCCAACAACCTCTTTCTAATAAATCCAATCTTGGTCAGTGCTATCACTTTCAAACTGTACCAATAGCAGTTGAGTCATAATCTTTGTAGGTAGGAAGTGTCCAAGCAAACTAGCATCCCAATTTGTTCCCATCCAATAATCTACCACTAATTTTTGCAACTTTGGTTCTAGGATGAGATTAACGGCACTAAAAAAGAGAGGACGGCCTAAGAGCCAACTATCCAGCTAGAACTGGGTATTAACTCCATTAGATACCAAGAAGCTAGTCCCTGCTTGCACCAGAGATCTTGATTCTATGATGCCTTTCCATTTCCATGTGTGAAACGAGCCCACCTTATATTCAACCTTAAGGAAACCATAGTTTGGGAAATATTTAGCTTTAACAACTTGAACCCATAACGCATCAGGTTTAGTCAAAATTCTCCATCCTAGCTTAGCAAGGAAGGCTTGATTCATGAATCCTAAAGCGAACACCCAATCCTCCAAAGCTTTTTGGCATACAAACCCTCTCCTAACTTACTAGAGATAACTTTCTATGTCCTTCAACACCTCCCCAAAGAAAATTTCAATTAGCTTTATCAATTTCTTGGCAAATTGAGACTAGAAGCTTTATCATTTGCATGGTATGATTTGCCAATGTAGAGGACACTAACTGGATTAACACTTGTTTACCAACAAACGATAACTACTTCGCCTTCCATGAGGATAAACGATCTTGTATCTTAGTAACCTAATTATGGAATGATTTTCGAGTGAGTCTTTTGCCTTCAATTTGGACTCCCAAGTACCAACCCAATTCGTCTATGGCTGCCATCCTAGTGACCCTACATATTTCATTGATTGTGTTGCAGTTTGAATTTGAAGAAAAAAGAATTTTTGACTTTTTTGGATTAACCTTTTGCCCATAGATATTGCAAAAACGATCAAGACAATTCATAAGTGTGTTAGCATTTTCGACAATAGCCTTGCCAAATACGATTAAATCATCAGCCAAAAACATATGAGATAGAAAAGACCTTTTTTTGTGATCCTAAATGGAGACCATTTTTAGTTTTGGACATCATTCTCAATTAGTTGCGATAAACGATCCAAGCATAAGACAAATAGATAAGGCAACAAAAGGTCTCCTTGCCGTAAGCCTTGAGTAGGAGTGAAAGGTTTGGTTTTCTCTCCGTTCCATAAAAGTGTGAATTTAGAAGCGTTAGTACAGAACACGATAAGAGAAATCCAATTACTAGGTAGACCCAAATCCTATAGATCCCATCTCAAAAAATCCCAACTTATACGATCATAAGCTTTCTTTAAATCAATTTTCATGATGAAGTTTCCAACTTTTCCTTTGCATTTCTTCAATGAGTGGACGGCTGCCTGAACAATGACAATATTATCATGGCATCCTTTTCTTGGAATGAAAGCACTCTGAGTAGCACTAAGGATATCCACCAAAATAGGGTGAAGCCTGTTCACAATGACTTTAGTAATGGCTTTAACAGCTACATTACATAAGCTTATAGGTCTGAGTTGATTCAATTTCTTAGGTGGAGCCACTTTAGGAATAATACAGATAAGAGTATCATTGAGGCTTCTCTCAAAACTCCCTTCTTGAAAAGCAGCTTTCACAAACTCATACAATCTATCCCTTATAATACTCCAGTTCATTGGTAAAACACAAGTTGTAACCCATCACTACCTGGAGCCTTATATGCACTCATGGAGAAAATAGCATCCTGTTTTTTAATAAATATTATTTTTGCTGTTCAAAAAAAAAAAAAAAAAAAAGCATCCTGTATTTCCTCATTGGAGATAGGTCGAAGAATAGTCAACAATTGATTCTCATCCATATGTCCATTCCTTAAGAAATCCATAACTGAAGTGGGGTTTGCAGTCACAATCGAAGCTTGGTAAAGGTCTTTAAAATACTCAACCACCATGTCTTGCAACTCCTTTTGGGTCTGTACACCAAGTATTATTTGTTCTTTTTAGTGCAGTGATTCTTTGATTCCTTATCTTTTCAATGGTAGTAGTATGGAAGAACCTTGTGTTTCGATCCCCAAACTGAACCCAATTAGAATGTGATTTCTAAAGCCAAAGTAATTCTTCTTGATTTAATACAACATTGTATGATTTAATAAGTCAATCTTCCAATGCAAACAGAGAGGGTTGAGGGCAGTTCTCAATTTCTTTTTGGGTACCAATTATTCGAGCCAGCAATCTCCACTTCCTCTTAAAAATATCTCCAAAAACTTCTTGATTCCATCTTTTAACACTTGCTATGAAAGAGTTTATGGCATTTCCTAGTGACGCTCCCTTATTCCAGGCCTTTTCAAGCACAGTTTTGAAATTTAGATGAGAAAGCCATGCAGCTTCAAATCGGAATAACCTATTCTCTTTGCTTAGTGGTGGCAATCCCTTGGTGTTGATTAGCACTAGATAGTGATCACCATGTGTTTGTGGGAGGTTCATATTGAACCCAAAAATATGCTTATAAAGTTTATGGGCCTTCCACGTATATATTACACTTTAACACTTTATTTCTTATCCATGTGAATTTTTGCACATCACTTAATTACTTAACTTTACTCACATGTTCATATACTCCAACATATTTTGTATATTTACTTAGGAAAATTTTGGCTTGCATGTGTATATCTTTGTGACAAGTGTTGTGTTGGGTTTTAATTTGGTTTATCCATCTACCTCTTATAGCTCCCCCTGCTCAGATGGAAGAAACGCCCATATGTTGCAATAATTAGCAATGTGATCATGATCATGGGTCACGTGCTTGCTTTATTTACACACATCCAGGTAAAATAGAATTAATTCTCTTTAGTCCATGGGTTAGTTAGCATTGGAAGTCAACATTGTATTTCCTTTCCTTATTTATCTTCTTTTTCTTAATCTGCAAACAAGATTGATGACGTATAAATGAACAGAAATATGTGCTTGGTAAGCCAATGATGATTACAAGGTCATTGGTATTCGCTATGGCTACTTCGGGCATATTTTTTACTATCATTACAATGTTTAAGGTAACTGTTTAAGTCACCGTTGAAGGTTAAAATTACTAGATTAATACATTAAGCATTGCATAAAATATATGTTTTTGACATTAATTATTCCATTTCGCCTTTAACAGGATATTCCAGATGAAGAAGGAGATAAAGAACATGGCATTCAATCGCTCAGCTTGAAACTAGGGAAAAAAAATGTAAATAAACAAGGGCTTGTGTCCATCATTTTTATATATAAATTCCTACAGAAGAATAATCAGTTGTATTTCTTATGAGTTTTGCAATTTTGTAATCTAAATTATATTGGACTGCAAAATCAAAACCATCAGATGAGGAAGGGCCTTCACAAAACATTTCTAATTTTTTTATTCTATAGTGAAGTTTTATGCCGATGACTAAAATGGTTTTTATTCTAATGTAAGGTATTCTGGCTTTGTATTAACATGCTATTGATGTCATGCGGAGCTGCTGTGGTGGTAGGAGCTACTTCATCATCTCTTCTGAGCAGGCTTATCACGGTATGTATCGAATCACTTCAAAATACATAAATACTATAGAAAACACACAAGCATCCCCTGCCGGTTACGAGTCTTTTGCTGAAATGTAACCAATTAATGGGAGTTTTTTGTTTTTGTTTTTTTTTTTTTTCTTCTCCTGTCTTGAAGATTATTGGTCATTTTTTGCTTGCTTCCTTGGTCTTGCTTCGAGCTCAATCGATTGATCTCAACAATAAAGCGTCAACAACTTCGTTTTACTTGTTCATCTGGCAGGCAAGTCATTAAAGTTCCATTTCTATCCACCCACCCTCTTATATTTGTTTTTGATATTCCTAACTTCACATTTTTACTGCAGTTATTCTGTGTTGGGTGTTTCCTCCCACTGTTTGTTCGCTAAGAAGATCTGAAAGTTTGAAGTGTCTTTGACCT